CCAAGCTATTAGCCAAGAAAGAGGAAATATCCTCTTCGGTGCTCCTCTCCTCCGTCGATTAAAGGTACACAACGCAACTGAATGCGGATGTGAAATAATTCAGGTGGCCGCTTATAATTATAAAGAAAATATATATCATATCTTAGGGTAAAAAGGTAGTAGGATTGTAATAAAAAAATTGTATGATTTATTATGGCGAAGGAAGGGTTAGATGTATGTTGTCGGCATATCTAAGTCGATGGATACATGGCAATTTTCTAAAACTCTGCAGACGCCCCGGCGCCAACATTCCATTTTCCTCGTTCGGAAAGTAGACCGAACGTATAGTAAATAAATTGCTTGAATAAAACGTCGCATACAAAGCTCACGATTCAAACATAAAACAGAACGTTAATTTCGTAATGATCGTAATATATTTATGCATATTAAATGCTCTAGTTATTTCGAAAACATTTTTCATTTGGATAGAATAAACATTTATTTTCAGCGTTAAAAAAGTTCAGAAATAGAAAACTTTTAATGGTAGAGTCGGCTAAACAACATTCTATTACCGAATGGACTGGCTGGACAGAGTTTATAGTAGTTCATAAATAAAATAAAAAAAGTCAATGTCTCACTAATATTATAAATGCGAAAGTTTAGATGGACGGATGTTTGTTTGAAGGTATCTCCACAACAGCTAAAGGACTGGAATTTCGCTGAAATTTGGAATAAATGTAAAAAATAGTATGGAAGAATACATAGGCTAATAATTAAGTTTTTTAATTCCTCGCTGACGGATCGCGGGTGACAGCTAGCCAGCAGTAAAATTTGTCGTCATCTTTTAAAATTATCCTAAGGTTCGGTAATGAAAAACCAATCATAATAAATACCAATAGCCCTCTGTCCCATACAGATCACTCGAATAAAAGCCCTCATAAGAAATTCGATAAAACAAATGACATCGCTCGACCATAAATTCATCGTAAAGGGAAATAAGGACCGAAATATATTTTAGTTTTGAGAAATCGCAAACAATAAGGATTCGCAACGAGACGTGCGAGTACGGCCGTAAGATAAATGGCCAAAGATACCTTACATTCCTACAGTAAAAAGACATGTCGTGAATCATAACTTTTTACGAATGAATTTTTGCAAAATGTAGGGAAACGTAAGGGTAAGGGCCAGTGTACCAAGTTTTAAATGCGTCACTAAATCACAAAAAGAATCAAAGATTTAACAAAAAAACTTCTAGTTACTTCTATGTACTTATATTGTTTTTAAAACAAGTCAATTCAAGAGATTTACCATAGAACTTTCGAATGTAAGTTACGATCTCCACATTACGCGTAAAATTGGCCTGATTCGGTTTTTTTTTTCTTTTTATTTACTATTAAAATTTTCAGCATTTGCTTATGTTTCGACACTGGAAACCCACAGTTCATTTTGACATAAATACTGGCAGGTAAGCCAGTAATCGATAGGAAAAAATATTAACAACATAACTCACGTCCGTAATCCAGAATGGTAGGCAGAGGGAATGGACCCCTATTTGGCACGGTCCTGACACACACTTCTACATTCATACATATATAACAGTGGTAGAGCCCGCTTTAACATCTTCGCACGAAGTGCCCCGGCTCGCCCGGTGAAATACCACGATCACACAGAAGACAGGCGTGAAGTGGAAGCAATTCCGCGTTTCATCTGATGAGTGTGCGTCCCGGAGGCCAAAATTAGTCCTCTTTCCCTTCCCACGCTTTTTCTTATAAGGAAAGGATGGGAAGTGGAAGTGGACTTTCCGGTAAGAGGAGACATGGAAAAGGAAAATATTTTCTTTCTGCGCATCCTCTCCTCCGTCGATTAAAGGTAGGCAACGCATATGCAATTGCATATCTCTATGGGCAACGGTCACTTCGCTATTTCAGCGATTTCAGGTGGCCGCTCGCTTGTTTGCCACCTTATGATATAAAAAAAAATACATCAACGTATTCATGCATCTCATTTTCGGATGCCCTTAATACTGCCCTTTCTGATTATTTCATCGATCTGAAATATCGTAAATAATAATTATTGTTTTTGATTAAAACTTTAAGAAATATATTCTTATACGTAGTAAAATAAACTAAATTATATATATGCAGAAATATATGACAAAGAGTTTCGTTTAAACACTATTTTAGAATGGAACAAGTCTGAATTCTTATCTTAAAATATTCCTTCAAAGAACACTTGCAATGTTAGTGACACAAACAAAATTGTCAAAAGCAAACAAAGTTCTGTTTATAAAGGATTTTTGTTTGCATAGTTTTGTTCGTTTTACGAAATAAGTGAGTGGACTGAGGATGTACGCCAAAAAGAATTTTAATAGAATTGCACCGCTGTTATATCTGACTTGATGATTTTTTTAATTCAGTATTCCCTTTGACAATTAAGCTACTTTTTAATAGAGGAAATATTCATAAAGTACTAGCTTTTGCCCGCGACTTCCACCACTCGAGTGCAAAGAAATCTCAATAAGTAGACTATGTTTTCTTCTAGACTATGTTCTATATCTAGATTCGATAAGCCGTTTCGGAGATACGTAGTAACAAAAATCCATACATCAAAAATTTTCCATTTATAATAAACTAGTTGTCGCCTGCGACGCCGTCTGCGATGAAATTCATCAGTTTTTTTTCTTAGTGTTAACTTCACTTCAACTTTCGTATAAAATGGTTACTAACAAAAATTACTCATTAGATAGTTATTCGTCAAATAAATTATGAATAATAATAAAACGGTGTCATAGTGTTATCACACCAGTTAAACAGATGACAACTTCATTCCGAGAGAATATAGAAAATTGAAATAAGTACTATTTTGTAATGCAAAGCTTTGTAAATAGCGTCGAGTGTCCTAGATATTTTTATAGACTGCTTTGAAAAGACGATATTAGTTTTCATATCACACAAATGATTTGACAAGTTACTTTTATTCTAATATTTCAAATGACTATATATTATTCAAGTAATGAACAGAATGATAAATTGCCGTCTGTCTGTCTAGACAACGTAAAAAGTTAATTAAAACGAAATGAAGTAAAAAGAACCATCACAAAAAGTTGTAGCAATTTCAATTATCTTAATATATACGTCAAAGACATATTTTAGTAATTAAATGTATAACATTTTTAATGATATAATAATATACATTTGTGTTGTGATCAAATGTTATATAAATGTCGTATAACCCCAAAACTCTATTGCACTTTTTCTTGAATTAAAACATATTGCCATTTCAACAGTGGTAGAGCCCGCTTTAACATCTTCGCACAAATTGGCCCGGCTCACCCGGTGAAATACCTCGACCACACAGAAGACAGGCGTGAAATGGAAGCAATTCCGCGTTTCGTCTGATGAGTGTGCGTCCCGGAGGCCTAATTTAGTCTTCTTTCCCTTCCCATCCTTTTCTTTATAAGGAAAGGATGGGAAGTGGAAGTGGACTTTCCGGATGAGAGGATGCATGGAAAGATATTTTCTATCTGTGCATTCTCTCTTCCGTCGATTAAAGGTAGGCAACGCATATGCAATTGCGTATGTCTATGGGCAACGGTCACTTCGTTATTTCAGCGATTTCAGGTGGTCGCTCGCTCGTTTGCCACCTTTTGATATAGAAAAAATCTCTTTTATAGTCTTTGACAAAACGGAGACAACTAGAGTTGCAGTCGAAACCTCCAGTATACAGTCACACTTCGAGAACTGGATATGCGAGAAATCTATTTGAGAGTAATTGTCTGATTCCGACGGATGACCTCCATAAGAGACTTGGTTCAGTGGGAAACCTGTCATCTCTATGTCCTTCTTTCACTTACGTATGGTCAGCACACAAGATTTCCGTCTTCCAAATCAATCTATCTAACGTCATTATCATCTAGATAACCTTTTCACAATCCTTCAGGATTGGCGCGCCAGTTTTCGTCTTCCAGGTCGATCTATCTTCCATCACCTCAGACGTCACCCCCTCCTTAATCATGTCACATACACGCAATCCATCCATCTCTTCCTATGCCAAATTTTTACCGGTGTATCTCTACACTCTTACTAAAAGTTCACCTTGCCACATTAGATTCTTCAAAATTATCGCGGTCCCTTGGATTTTCGCTTAACCAGGTTCTACTATGTATACTGACTTACCAATGATCGTACCAAGTTCGGGGGCTATAAGAGTGGTTATACAAATGAAAAGGGTTGTTATAATAGGACCCTACATTTGCATAACCACAATGTGACAGAAAGCTTTCATTGTTATACATTTTAAAACGTCCATTTGTAAAACAAGAGTAAGGGCTTTTGTGGTAAATAAGGTTTTATGCATTTGATAAAATGGAATATCTTCTCTCATATAGAACGGATTAATTTTTATCTGACAATATTAAATCGTTGAAGAGTTTCATAGTTATTTTTTAACTCTTACTATCATACGATTATATTAAAGATTTTCTATTATTATACAATATTCTCTCGTATAACATACATATCAAATGTTTATATTACTTACTTCTCAGCCGATTTGTACACAAATAAACGTAAATCATTACAACTAATATTGCATCTTTGCGAATCATCTTGTTGGTCAGTACAGGCATAGAGACTAAATGTTGACTCTATTTGCTCCGCCATCTTGAAAATTTGCAGCGACTTGACGATCTTGAAAAACAAGTTGCGAGCGATTTTCAAACTTTAACAATATGGGTTTTTTTAGTTCTAAACTATTGATTTACAAAGTTTAAAACATAGTGAAAATGTACTTACTTTGTTTACTTATACAGCTTTAAAACTGTTATTAATAATATAATATTTTAAAACGAATTTCCCCCATCTATAAAGCTGTGGGCGGTTTTATACAATATTTAAACACCTATAGTTGTATATTTAGAAAGAGTTCTGTTAAAACAAAACAAAAAAGTATGCCTTTGAACTGACTATTCATTGCAAAATCAACTCTAAAACATAAGTCCTAAAGTCTTTAATTGTTTGCAGATGATGGTGTAAAGGGTGCAACGGGGCGATAAAGGGATGTTATCGGTCCCGTGATTCAGCGACCATGGCTCTGCTCTTCGGGGCGATAGGGGTGCTTGCCCTAGTGAGTCGCACAGGTAAGTCTATCCATCTAAGTGGAAATAAAAATAGACATCTTTGTCTGTTGTACAGAGACACTGATCTGTTTTGCACTATTTTTTATAACGATTATACTAGCGATTGATCACCATGACATATTTAAATAGTGAAGTCAAATATAATCTTACTAATATTATAAATGCGAATGTTTGGTTGAATAAATATTACCTACGAGTAACTTTGTCATAGATGTAGAACATAGCCTGGAAGAACACATAGACAACAAGTATATGCCATAATTAAGTTTTTTTAAAACTGCTCGGACGGAGTCACGGGCGACAACTAGTCTATATATACAAAAGAAATCGATTCATACGACATAGGTTAATCAGTTAGTTCTTAACTACAATATATCCCTTTAATATCTAGTTACATTCAGGTTTGACTACAATCGTTTAGACTTCTATTACAAGGTTTAAAAATGGATGATTTTAGGGAGTCTATTTTTTTCTTCTTCATGAGCGAAAGGTATAGGTACATTTTATTCAAGCTATAAACAACAAAGTGAAGTAATGTAATAAAAGTCTTGATTTCAGTTCCACAGAACTTTGTCTTACTATAGCCGAGATTCATTCGTACGAATGTTCGAAGTGAAACTGACTGTGGGATCGGATACTATAATAGCTAGATATATTGGAGTCGTAACTCAGCGGGCCGCACAATGCCTGTCTTTGCCTTGAATAGCTGCTATAATACTCGAAGGAGACAAAAGTAGCCGTTTTACTAAACGCCACAATGTTTAATATTAAACTCGCTCTATTTTGTGGCTGACTATTATTTATTGCAGCTAACATAATACGGACCTTGTGCGTGACCTGAATTATTTCATATATTTTATTTGACCTCGATATGAACACAACAAGAATATACAAATACACTTCAACATATTAATAATATAGAGAGTAGTTTGTGGTATTTAAAGATATATAACATAGCCTGGAAGAACACATAGGCTACTAATTATATTTTTTTAATTCAACGGACAGAGTCGCAAGAGACCGTTTGTCTATATGATAAAGTCTAGATATCTTGATGTATATTTACCACATTTAAAACCATCAATAAAAACAAAATTTAATATGGCAATGTAAACAAAAAAAGAGATTAAACATCTAGATTTTTTTTTAACCAAAAGTGCTTGTTTTCTAGAAAAGGATGGATCTTGTTTGCCTCAGAGAATGCGCCATCCTAGATGTATCCAGAAGATAGTAAATCAACGAAGTACATTTTTGTATACATCTTTTTATAAAGGTTGTACCGGCAATGCGAATGGGTTGGGCACAAACGGCGTCTCCGAAGCGGATTATCCCGACATGGACCTGGGCCTGGCGCATCGCGGACCTCACTTCGACGTCGCATATTCAAGAAACGTTACTGCTTTAGTCGGCAAGACTGCGCAGTTAAATTGCAGGGTCCATGACCTTGGGAACAGAACGGTACGTACTGTTCATATTCATCATCATTAATCTGCCCTTGTCCCTATGAAGAGTAGGCACAATATGTCCTTGTCTTACATCTTTATCAGACGTCATATCTGTAGTCTTCTTACGCATATCCTCTTTTACGCAATCCATACTTTCTTCTGTATTTATCTAACCTTGTATCCATCAAAATTCAATCATTACATTTTTGTTTTTGTGCCTATTATCTCTCTTCATAATACGTTCACAAGTAACCAAATAATTGCTTCTTAATTTTTCTATCATCGACAACTTTATAAGTGTTATTTCAATTACATAAAATGTATCGTTCATTGAAAGCTATTTTATGGGATAATAGTATTTTATTAATACTCATAATTATTTTAATAAGAAAAAGCTATTGTTGGAAATAAACAAGAACTTATCTCGGTGACCTGAAGTGTGTTCTAGCTATATTATAAAGAAAGGTTTTTTTATATTTCTTGTAAATATAAAAGCTTTCTGCAAGACTTCAGTGTTTTTATTAATAAGAAATATTATGAAGTTTAACATAATCGTAAGAATATTTTTTATATTACTACATCCTGCAACAAAGGTCTCCAGTTATCTCAGGAGACAGAGACCCAAGAATTTGTAAAATAGTTTTGTGGGCCAATAATTTTTTTTCTGATTTTTAATTAAATTTAAACTCTTGTATCTGCATTACCAAGTATTATCAATATAAGTATCATTTATAATGCATTTTTGGTTTAGGTGTCATGGATCAGACATCGCGACATCCATCTGCTCACGTCCGGCAGAATGACGTACACCTCGGATCAGAGGTTCATTAGTGTTCACAATCCTCATACCGAAGATTGGATACTAAAAGTAAGTAGAACTATTAGAATTCTTAAAATCTTCATATTTATATTTTACAAAGTATATTAGCGTGTGGTTTTTGACAATACAAATTTATTACTCAGATTGTCCAATGTTTCAGATGATATGATTTGTTTTTACCAATAAATGATGTTAGAACGCAACTTACAAAGTAAGGACCAGCTGCTCTCTATCCTACCGTTGGCAGCGCCCATGATAATATTTTTTTTTTTGCAGGCACACTAAATTATCAGAATAATTTTCGTCCACCAGAAATCGACGACAGAACAACGAAGTAATAAATAGTACAAAGTTACCGCATCAATAAATTATCAAATAGTCTTGGCACAAAGCAGTAGTAAAGTGGGTCAGTGGCCATTAGTAAATTTAAAATGTTTATTGTCCAGATAAGGTTCCCGCAGCGGCGCGACTCCGGTATCTACGAGTGCCAAGTGGGTACCACGCCGCCAATCGGCCATCGCATGTACCTCTCTGTTGTTGGTAATTGCTTTCTAATGCTTTCATAAAACCTCCATTATCAATTTTTATAAAAAAAAACAGAACTAAACAGTCCACGGGGTGATAGTAAGTGATCGATCGCAGACAACAATCAAAGTGTAAACGCATCATTGTTCACATTAAAAAACTAGGGTGGTCATCGGACGTGATAAGGACCACTGTTGTTTATTACTAAACTAAATTCAAACAGTGTTTTAATAAAATAGATCGAGTAACGGCCACAATAAGAACTCAAATCATATAACTTAATATGATTCTTAAAGCATTATAAAAATAAGTTACAAATGATACCATCCCTTAACAGAACCATTGACAACGATACTGGGTGGACCAGAGCTGTTTATTAACATGGGGAGCACCATCAACCTAACATGCGTAGTGCAGCACTCGCCAGAGCCCCCGCCTGCGATACGGTGGACGCATCATGATGAGGTAATTAATTAGACAATTAAACAAGAACTTACGCAAAACGATGGCAAATGAGCAAATGATCCGCCAGATGTTAAGTAACAACGAAAAAGAAAGAAGTAAATATACCTTGTAGAAGTTGGACAGGGATAGATAAAAAACAATAGGAAAGTACTAGAACCGACGTTCGTCAGAAATTTTAAGCCTAAGCGACAACACACAGTTTCGTGAATAGATGGATGATGGTTATGGTTTAAAAAATGTATGATTTCTTAATGGTTAATGGAAATTAGTCACATTAGGTAAAGCTTGTCTATTAAAGCAATAAAAGTGTGTTAACTTTTAACTACATTACCGAAAGTTCGATCATAAAAAATAACCTCGTTTGCGAGTCTCTCGCAGAAGCTTGAATCGTTGCCAAAGTGAACAACGTCCACCACTCGTTTGGCTAAATTTTAATGTGTCATAACAATTTTATACATTATATTAAAAAAAAAAATTAACAACGTTGCGAATAATCTCAACAATCTTGTATAATATTACATATTTTTCTATTAAAGCGTTAATTTCATAAATATGGTGCTGAAAATCAATGGTAAGCTGAATTTTTAAGCAAAAATTTTGCCGTTATAGTAATGCGTTCTGTTTTCTACTTTTAAATTGCACTCTCTGATTTCCTTATTATAATATTAACAATGATGGATGATGATGGCTCTTTTGTAAATGTCTTGCATACCTTAGGAGATAAACTACGACTCGCCACGCGGAGGTGTGTCAGTAATCACGGAGAAGGGGGAGACGACGACGTCACATCTACTGGTGCAGAAGGCCAAGGCGCCGGACTCAGGTCGCTACACGTGCGCACCCGCCAACGCCAATCCTAGATCTGTTATCGTCCATGTATTAAGTGGTAAGTCGACCTGCGGGACTAAAAAAATGCATTCGCTATAAAGTGATTCAATAATAAACTTCAAAATTGTATGGAATTAACAATTACTTTCGATAAGTCACGTGATTGTCGCGCGTTAGTTCCATACATTTTTGAAGTTCGTTATAGAATCACCTCAATGCGAATGCACTTTGTCTAACCCCGCTGTTCTCTTTTATTTTATTTTCTATTTTGTCTTAACTGAAATTCTAATAACTTTGAATTCCAGATATACACCAAAAAAACATACAAAAATTCGATGCTCTGTGAAATGCTTTTCTTTAAAACTAACTTAACATTTATACTCGTGGTGTTCTTTTTAAATTAATATAATTTTCACATACAAACAATTTGATGCTATATGTAGTGTTGAAGTTTGTTAAAGCCAAATTTGAAATGAAGTTTTCCCGCGATACTACGAATAACGCTTATTTTGCGTAACATAGTATTAATTTTAGGAGTTTAATTTAGTCTATGGTACAGTCCCTTTTCTTTGTTATTTATTAGTGTTATAGTTATAGTTAATATTTTTTTTCTCAAGGAGAACATCCTGCCGCGATGCAACACGGCGGTCAACTCCGTCTACAGTATCCAATCTCAGCTGTGCTCCTCAGTATCATAGTCACAATAACGGGTTGCTAGTATAAGCGTGACGTCATTGTATTATGTAAGCACAAAGTGGACATTAAACGATAATTAACATCATAATTAGCTATAGCGTATAAATCGATATACAATCGTTTAAATTATTTGAATAATTTAAATGATTCCAAGTCCAGATGTTTCATTTCATTGTCAATAGATGTCGCTAACGACTGGTTTGTAAAAGGTCATTGGTATTTGATTTTAAATAATCTATAGTTAATTATATAACATGATTTGATTTGGTAGAATTTTTAAGAACATGGTTAATTTTTAGTACAGAAATCTGATCAACGATTTGATTTGAAACTCTATTTACGTTGTTAATTGGTAGGAATAGTTTGACCTTTTAGAAGCCGGGCGTAAGCTCCTCATGTTCGTAGCAAATTAGTTGTTTTAGTCTCTAGTTTTTGTAATACAATCTCAATTAATTTGAATTAAATTAATGATAATACTAAAATTTGTACAAAAAAGCGTGTAAAAATGTACAAATTGCTCAATGCTAATATCGTTTAAAGAATATTATAGCATTGATTTAAATCTCACCTTTTTATGTTTTAATCTTTGTTTTAAAATAAATGATGCCTTAATTACGCAAATAAAATAATATTGTGTTTTGTAAACCGCAAAAATGTAATATAAATAATTGATTCATATTCATGAAACAACTAGTTAAGGCTTGACATTTAAAAGAAAATTTAATCAGTTGTGAAAATTAAAATTAATCAAATTATAAATATTCAATGCAAAATTTGAGACAAAATGTATAGAATTATTAAAAAAATAGTTAACACTACGCGATTTCAATGATAATTCTTTTCAGGTTTTTTACGTTTACTTTTTTTGAAAATAAAACACTATCCTATGCATTTATAAAGACCTAGAAGACTTTAAAGACTGGAAGGTCTTAGATGTTAAATTTATTTTTCTTTTAACTACTTAATTGTAAAACGTAAAATATTTTATTCGAGACAAATCTAAGCTAACATTCCGACTAACTAATAAAAAAAAAATTGTCGACAGAAAGCATTAACACAAATTTCATATCACAGATTATTTTAGGGCTGTGATAACCAGCATCATTTTAGAATATTGTGCATCCCTCTCATTCTCTTTATCAAAGACAAAGACAACTATGCTAAAACCCACTTCAGACACACATTATTAACTTTTTCTTGACATTCGTTTCACTTGATATGCATCTTTCAGCGTTATTTACCTCTTTTAAACATTATCTAATGTATGGAGAATTGTATAAAGTTAATGCTAAAGATAACGCTGTAACTTAAAGTATATTTTATTTAAATAATATTGCGTAAAACCAATTAGATGTAATTAAATGTTATAAATTCGATTGATAAAGTTATCACTTTAAAAGTAAGAATAAGTTACGATAAAAATATAAGAAACATATAATAGATCAATGCATCATCGATCAGAACAATATTATTGTTTATTAATTTTATCTTATAATAAGTAAATTGTAAATATATACTTAATAAGAATGTTGTTTAAGGAAATAAATAAATTGCTCGATTTTTGTGTTTTATTTAATAATACCAAACTTTATTATTAATACCAAACTTTTAATATTAAAGTTATACAGTTGAAAATTACAGTCAATAGATGGCGCTGTTCACAACCATCAGCACGCTATAGTTGTGTTTTACTAAATACAAATTTCTTGGTAATGACTGCGTTATTTTTAACAGAAAATAATGCGAAGTACAATATTCTCATATAAACAAATATACAATCTTACTACTTACGTATATTATAAATGCAAATGTTTAGATGGATGATCGTTTGTTGGAAGTAATCTCCAGAGTGAATGCAGGGATCTTGCTGAAATTTGGAATAGATGTACAACACAGTCTAGAAAAGCTTCTAGTTAATTTTTTTTATTAAATCTATGTGAACGGAGTCGAGGACGACAGCTAGTGGAAAGTAAACTGAAATCTTGCTACATCTTACTATTCTTCTTACTGCAATTTTCTAAACAAGGCCATTGATAATGTAACCCTTACAAGAACTTTGTGAAAATCATGTCTTCGAAAATGTATTTCCAATTTAGCAGAATTTTGTAGAACCTATAACATACCAGCATACGTTCTTAAGTGCCTATAAAAAGTTTTATCTCGGGACGTAAATATTGGGCAACGTATGGCATATATCTAAGCCATAATGAGACTGGCCGATAAAAAGGAGGAACTTGGGAATTACAATGAGGTCAGCACTTAGGAAATAAAAAGTAAAATACTAGTTACAATGTTGTAATGTTGCATTTTAACTAAACCGTACAATGAAAAGAGTTAAGCACTAGTTATAAGAGATTCTAAAAGTTATCACTTTTCGTCGAATGTGTCACAATAGTCGACCGATATTAAATAATAGAGGAAATAACTATTCAGTTTCTATGACTTATAAATAATTTATCTATAAGAGGCATTTACAATTTAAATTCTTTACTATTGTTAGCAATAAAATTCGACACTGTGCCGATGTACCGGAGCAACACTAGCTTTGCTAAAATGTCGACGTCTATGTCCCCTCACTAATCATTCTGACACTTGACTTGGTAACAAAAGTGCGCAATTCGCGCCAATTTAGATTTTTCAACTACCACACTATTTTAGTCCTAAATACGATAGTGGGCTCGCTACGTACACTAAAATTGAATAAATCGCAAGTATCAATCAATGTTAATCCACGTATATGAAAAGTTTATACAATAAATGGTAAAATATTAATCAATAAGGGGGATGAGTCCTGTGTTCGGCGGCTCGTTGCAAACTACGGCAATAAACTGTGCAGTCACACATAAATGTCCGACGCACAGGACCATAATTTGCTTGTTATTCATATTCATAACCTGCTGTAAACCGTTTTGTATTATACATACAATTTGTATTGTTTTTATGACGTGTATTTAAAGCTTTATATTTTTTAATAAAAAACTCTTTATTTTTAACTTTAACTTAACACTTTAAGTAGTAGGAATATGTTTTTCCGAAAAGGGTTTAAAGAAATAATTGCAATAATGAATAAAAATGTTGTACTTGTACTTCTAGTGATTTTAATATATCTCTTATCAGTTAGTTCTCAAGGTCACTAATACTTATAAGTATTTTTACACACATGTTTAAATTTTACGTGAATAACATGAATCACTAATTTAGTTCACAAGTTTTACATTAAGTATTTTACATTAAGTATGGGTTTTTATTTTAATATAGATCTTTTCTTATTATAGATAGAAATACTCTCGTCCCTTTTTTAATACCATGCATTCGTAGTCTCGGGCGACAGCTAGTAGTTCGATTTAACAATTTAAAAGATATAGGTATAACAACCAGATTCATTTCAACTTATGTACAAAACTTTTATACATCTTTAAAAGAAAACAAGAAAAAAATTGGCTTCTGATTTAGTTTGGAAAGTTTTGCGAAGCGTTAACTAGAATAATACATTCTCGATTGTTACAATGCCAAGAAATATCGCCTTTTCAATAACCTTAGCTACTGATTTTTTAGAAAAAAAAATGTGCTTTAATAATGTATTTAATGTGCTGAAAGTAATTTTTTTTTTAAATATTGGCAGATTTTTTTTTGTAAATTTACTAATATTTCTTTAACCATTCTAACCAAGCTCTAGGCTTGTGCTAGGATATGGTTTACGACAGTAGTCGAATGGCGGGATTCGAACCTCCGACCTCGTGATCGGAAATCCGTACCCTTAACCATTAGGGTATTGACGCTTGTCTGTTTAATTTTTTTTTTGGGGATAGATATGAAAGAATATTGTCCCAGCAGCAAAAATTTCATATGCGCCCGTGTTGAATAAAATTTGTAACCTGGTAGTAATAAGTCGTGAATTGCGATTTAATTTGAACTAATTATATATGAGAGCGTCGGTGACTCAGTGGTCAAGCACTTGACTTGCAATCTGCAGGTCCTGGGTTCGAATCCTGCCATGTACCAATGTGTTTTTCGATTTACGATTTACATATGTACATTTATCCGACGTTCTTACGGTGAAGGAAAACACCGTGATGCAACCTGCACATATCTGAGAAGAAATTCAAAGATATGTGTGAAGTCAACCAACCCGCACTTGGCCAGCGTAGTTGACTAATCACCTAATCACCCTTAACTTAGGGTAGGCTCCGAGCCCCTCAGTGGGGACGTATAGTGAGCTGATGATGATGATGATTTATATATTAAAATAGTGGAGTACTTAGTTTTGAAGTTATATATTATCAAAGGGTGGTCTATTTCAAAAGTCTTTTAGGTACAAAGGTTTTGCATAACGCAGTATACGATGTAGTCTCGCGCCCGTATCCGAGCAGGTAATAGACAAAGCAAACGATATACCGCTCTATTCCGCAACCAGACAATCTAAATCCATGAATAATCGATTGGATATTGCCTTTGGGATGCATTCAATATCATCTCAATGTTACTTTGGAAATAATAACTATATTAAAGTAGTTTAACTTATGTATAAACTATAAAATAAATATTTTTCGAAGAGAAAAAATCGCAAAAAACTTTTAGAAAGAAAAATATTGTTGACACATATTTCTCATGATTTAACGATTAAGGTTAGCTGATGAAGTGTAAAGTCATTGAAAAACAATCAAATAATTTTTTATTAAAAAAAATATGAAAGTTTATGTAAACTAAGTGTGGAATAAACTTAACGTAAATTACAATGTTGTTAAGTTAACAAATTAAAATGGAACAAACGAAGCGAATAATTTTTCGTTGGATTATTTTTAGGTAAGAAAATCTCTTGAAAATTTCCACGCGATTATGAATCAGGTCAGGGGTTCAGCAGTTTGTTTTGTTACTGGCTTCTAACATTTACGGTGACACAATTCCTCGCCGAGAATTTCCCTTTTATTTGGTCTTTTTTTGATTGAGCTTGTAAACATTATATATTACATTATTGTTAGTTGTGGTCGTAAAAAGATCTCTTATAAGGAATTTGTAGAAACAACTTAACATTTGATAAACAAAGAAACCGAGCATTGTTTTAATGTCAGACAGAATACTAAACTGATATAAAAACGGCTAAACACTCATGTATATTCGTTCGGTGTCGGCACCGACTAGTTTCGAGCCCATCGGGGGCCCTTCATCAGGTTGAGTGGTACTGGTGAAGGGTAATTTTTAGGACAGAAACTTTCTCTGACGTGTGAACTAAGTAAAAAATGTAACATTTCTAAAATTAATCAATTAACATTACGCCTAAAATTGTATACATATCACCGTAGGTTTCCGAGACCAATATCCTAGTTTAAAACATACTATTTCTGTTTTATCAAAGATAATAACAGGGATATGTTATACAGAGATTCTAGTCTCAGAATCCAATGATTAGTCTCACAAAAACTAAAAGGATCGTATAGTCGAATGATCCGATAAGATCTTACGTCAGCTACTTTCTCTCGTGTTTGAAAATAATGGTAGTTAGAGGGAAAAGTCGTATAAGAATAGCTATTTCCGCATTAGATAACAATTCAGAGAAAAACCTT